AGACCAATGGGGCGCCTGCTTTTCAACGGCGCGCGTCCAGGTGTGAAAAGGATTTTTGTATGAACTTATGAGGGGGGGACTTGGGACGGGGGGAAGTATAGCAGCATCGCTGATGCATCCTGGGTTCTCTCTGGTCCTCCTCCTCCTCCTCCTCCTGCTCCTCCTCCTCCCTCCCTCCTGCCTGGGTGCCCGGAAGATGCCCGGGTGCCCGGGTGCCCGGGGGATGCCCGGGTGCCCGGGTGCCCGGGGGGTGCCCGGGTGCCCGGGGGATGCCCGGGTGCCCGGGGGATGCCCGGGTGCCCGGGTGCCCGGGTGCCCGGATGCCCGGGTGCCCGGGTGCTCGGATGCCCGCGTGCCCTGGCGCCCGTGTGCCCGGGTTCCCGCCCGGATGCCCGGGCGGAGGAATAGTCTGATTGTGCCCATTCGGCACACCCTTCACACGTTCCGTGGCCCCATAGGGAGCTCCACCGAAGGCACCAGTGCTGCCGCCAGCATGCGTCCCGCACGCCCAATTCGGCATACCCCTCACACGTTTCGTGGCCCCATAGGGAGCCCCACCGAAGGCCCCAGTGCTGCCGCCCGCATGCGTCACCCACACCCAATTCGGCACACCCCTCACACGTTCCGTGGCCCCATAGGGAGCCCCACCGAAGGCCCCAGTGCTGCCGCCCGCATGCGTCACACACACCCACACATTCGGCACACCCCTCACACGTTCGTGGCCCCTAGAAGCCCCAACGAAGGCCCCAGTGCCTTGCTGCCACACACCCATTTCGGCACACCCCTCACACGTTTCGTGGCCCCATAGGGAGCTCCACCGAAGGTCCCAGTGTGTGTGCCCGCATGCGTCCCGCACACTCATTTCGGCACACTCCTCACACGTTTCGTGGCCCCATAGGTAGCCCCACCGAAGGTCCAGTGGGTGTGCCCGCATGCGTCCCGCACACCCATTTCGGCACACCCCTCACACGTTTCGTGGCCCCATAGGGAGCTCCACCGAAGGCCCCAGTGCTGCTGCCCGCATGCGTCCCGCACACCCAATTCGGCACACCCCTCACACGTTTCGTGGCCCCATAGGGAGCTCCACCAAAGGCCCCAGTGCTGCCGCCCGCATGCGTTCACCCAACACCCCAATTCTGTTCGGGCACACCCCTCACACGTTCCGTGGCCCCATAGGTAGCCCCACCGCAGGCCCCCAGTGCTGCCGTCCGCATGCGTCCCGCACACCCATTTCGGCACACCCCTCACACGCTTCGTGGCCCCATAGGGAGCTCCACAGAAGGCCCCAGTGCTGCCGTCCGCATGCGTCCCGCACACCCATTTCGGCACACCCCTCACACGTTTCGTGGCCCCATAGGGAGCTCCACCGAAGGCCCCATGGCTGCCGTCCGCATGCGTCCCGCACACCCATTTCGGCACACCCCTCACACGTTTCGTGGCCCCATAGGGAGCTCCACCGAAGGCCCCAGTGTTGCCGTCCGCATGCGTCCCGCACACCCATTTCGGCACACCCTTCACACTTTTCGTGGCCCCATAGGGAGCTCCACCGAAGGCCACATGGCTGCCGTCCGCATGCGTCCCGCACACCCATTTCGGCACACCCCTCACACGTTTCGTGGCCCCACAGGGAGCTCCACCGAAGGCCCAGTGCTGCCGTCCGCATGCGTCCCGCACACCCATTTCGGCACACCCCTCACACGTTTCGTGGCCCCATAGGGAGCTCCACCGAAGGCCCCATGGCTGCCGTCCGCATGCGTCCCGCACACCCAAGTCGGCACACCCCTCACACGTTTCGTGGCCCCACAGGGAGCTCCACCGAAGGCCCCAGTGCTGGCCGCCCCAATGCGTCACGCACCCCAATTCGGCACACCCCTCACAAATTCCGGGCCCCATAGTGACCCCACCTAAGCCCCAGTGCCGCCGCCGCCCGCATGCCGTCACGCACATACCCAAGTCGGCACACCCCTCACACGTTTCGTGGCCCCATAGGGAGCTCCACCGAAGGCCCCAGTGGCGGCGCTCACATGCGCATGCGTCCCGCACACCCATCTCGGCACATCCCTGACAGGTTTCGTGGCCCCATCATCCACCGGAGGCCCCAGCGGCGGCGCTCACATGCGTCACCCACACCCACCCATCTCGGCACACCCCTCACACGTTTCGTGGCCCCATAGGGAGCTCCACCGAAGGCCCCAGCGGCCGCGCTCACATGCGCCCCCGCCACCCATCCCGGCACGCCCCTCACAACAACAGGCTTCGTGGCCCCATAGGGAGCTACACCGAAGGCCCCAGTGGCACCGCCCGCATGCGTCACCACCCGCACCCAATTCGGCACACCCCTCACACGTTTCGTGGCCCCATAGGGAGCTGCACCGAAGGCCCCAGTGGCGGCGCTCACATGCGTCCCCGCAACACATCCCAGTACACCCCTCACGCGCTTCGTGGCCCCATAGGGAGCTCCACGAAGGCCCCAGTAGCGGCGCTTACATGCGTCTCCGTCAGCCATCCCGGCTCCCCCCCCGCAGCAGCATCATGTTTCGGGGACCCATAGGGAGCTCCACTGGAGGCCCGAGCGGCGGCCTTCACATGCGTTTCCGCCACCAATGTCGGCACGCCCCGCGCGTGTTTCCTGTCCCCATAGGGAGCTTCGCCGAATGCCCCAGTGGCACCCATCTCGGCACACCCCTCACACGTTCCGTAGTCCTATGGGGAATTCCACTGAACATGAAACCCGCAGCTGCGGTACTGACAACTGCATATGGTTGGGTCCTTCGCCCGCTTTGTTTTGTTGTTTTTCGCTCTCTCTCTCTCTCTCTCTCTCTCTCTTTTTTCTCCCCTCCCCACTTTAATGTGTCCCCCCTCTCCCTCTCTTTTTTTTTTCTCTCTCTCTCTCTCTCTCTCTCTCTCTCTCTCTCTCTCTCTCTCTCTCTCTTATTATATCTCTCGCTCTCTCTCTCTTTTTTCTCTCTCTCTCTCTTTCTCTCTCTCTCTCTCTCTCTCTCTCTCTCGTCCTCTCCTCATTGTTCTCTCTATATTTCTCTCTCCTCCCTCTCTCTCGCTCTCTCCCCCCCTCTCTACTCTACGTTTCTCTCTCTCCTCTCCTCTCTCTCACCTCCACTGTTCCTCTCTTCCCTCATCTCCCCACCTCCGCATCCTCACAATCCTCTCCTCTCGTCTCTCTTCCTTCCCCATCTCCCCCTCCCCCCTCAAAACCTCTCCTCCTCTCTCACCTCCTCTCAGACTCTCTCTCTCTCTCTCTCTCTCTCTCTCTCTCTCTCTCTCTCTCTCTCTCTCTATATATATATATATAATTTTCGCGCTGTTGTTGTTGTCGTCAATTGTTTCTCCCTCTCGCTCTCTCTCTTTCTCTCTTTCTCTCTCTCTCTCTCTCTTTCTCTCTCTCTCTCTCTCTCGATATATATATACGACCACCCTTCGGGTGATAAGGAGGTTCGGGGGGGGGAACCAACGTCTCACTCGATCGGTCTCACTATCGATCTCAAGATCGATCTCACTATCGGTCTCGCTCGATCGATCTCACTCGATCGATTTCACAATCGATTTCACTCGATCTATCTCATTCGATCGATCTCGCAATTGATCTCACAATCGATCTCACAATCGATCACACAATCGATCTCACATTCGGTCTCAATTTCGATCTCACTATGGATATCACAATCGCTCTCACAATCAACGTCATGGTAATCATCATCAACACCATCAACATCAACATCATCACCAACATTGCCATCATCATGAGGGCACCGTCATCATCATCACAAACATCATCAACGTCCGCATCAGCATCGGGACAACAGCATCATCATCACCATCAGCATCCCATCATCAATATCATCATCATCGGGACACTGTCATCATCATCGTCAGCAGCATCATCAGAATCATCATTATAATCGGGACACCATCATGATCACCATCGTTCTCATCATCAACATTATGATCAACATCGTCATCATCCTCGGGACAGCAGCATCATGATCATCGCATCATCATCATCGACAGCATCATCAACAACATCATCATCATTGGGGCACCATCATCATTATGAGTGACATCATCATCAACATTGTCATTATCATTATTGTCATCATCGGGACACCACCAGCATCACCATCATTATCATCACCATCATCATCATCATCCTCAGCATCACCATCGGGGCACCATAATCATCATCAACATTCATCATCATCAACACCATTATCGCAGGGACACCATTTCCATTAACATCATCATCACCAACATCATCGGGATCATCATCATCATCATCATCATCGGGACACCATCATCGCCATCATCATCAACATAATCATCATGAGCATCATCATCCTCATCACCGGGACACTATCATCATCATCGACACCATCATCAACATCATCATCTTCATCATCGGGACACCATCATCATCATCTCATCATCATCATCATCACCATCTCATCATCTCATCATCCTCGCGGGACACCGCGGGACACCGGCGGGGCACCGCGGGACACCGCGGGACACCGCGGGACACCGCGGGACACCGGCGGGACACCGCGGGGCCCCGGCCGCCCGGAAGGGAATCATTTGGCCCGGCCGCGCATCAATCCACTACGGGACACCAGCTGGTCACCGGCGGGCACCGCGGGGGCCCCCGCCGCCCCCGGAAGGGAATCATTTGGTCCCGCCCGCCTCAGCCCACAAGGAGACTTTCTTCGCCCGCCCGTGCGGCGGCACGTTCCGCCCGCCCGCGGCGCGCGGACACGCACGAACAACGAAACCGAATCACCTCCTATATATAATATTTATATATATAATATATAGGTATTATATATATATTATATGCCCCCCCCCCCCCCCCCCTGTGATCCACCTCATCGCTGTTTCAATGTTTCATTCAATCTGCGATCACCTGTCATTAACTTGCCATAATTGTTTTTCGCGCGCAAAGTTGCAAGTGCCTTTGCAGCGCCTACAAGTACCTATGCGGCCAAGTATCAATAGAGAGCCCTCAGCATCTCACCTGCGCGGACCCACAGGTCCTGGCCTTTCTCCCAGTGCGTCCACTGAGCAGAACGAATACGTCGACACATGGATACGTTGTTGACCTTGCGCGCGCGCTTGCCCAGGTGCGCTCTCAAGTGGGACCAGAAACGGTCGATGATCTGCGCGCCTGTTTTCGCAGAAAGGTGCTGCCTGCCAGGAAGAATGTGCTTCTTAATCTCTGAGTACTTCGGTTTCACCCATACTGTCTTTCCTTTAAAGACGACCTTTTTCTTGCAATGCACCACGTTGTCGCGAATAACACCGGGGGTTGCGCATTCTGTATGCGCGGGCGCCGTCGGTATGCAAAACCACGTTGGTATTCTCCAAATGCTTCCTGGTGGTCGGCTTCCATCCCGCTTGCGAATTGGCCCTGGCCCTGGGGCGCGACGAGTCGCGCGGCGCGGATCAAATCCTTATCTGTTCGTTTACGAACATCTCCGTGCAAATCGATGGGAGCGTAGGCTTCGATGTCGGATCGTGTCTGATATCGCCCAACCGACCAAACCAGAGCTCGGCGAGATCGCGGGCCGGCTGCCTGATCGCATCGCAGTGCATATCGATCGGAGCGGTGCTTTCGCGACCATCGCACGATCGATCGCAATCGCCCAATCGGATCTTCTCTCGGCGAAATCGCGCGACGGCAGCAACGCAAGCACCGAAAACCAGAAGGGCTTGCGCGCGAGGATACGAATCAGAGCAGCATCTGAGGAGCGCGCTAGTCAGCGCCAGCGCATGCGGCCGACCGCGCTCGACGATGCCTCCCCACTGCTCCCATTGAACTGGTTTCTGCTTGTCCGTCTTCCTCCAGTCGTCCTCTTTGCCCAAGTCGACTTCATCGGCTTCAATGTCGCTCCATTCCTCGACCGAGCCAAAGCGAATTGTCCTTTCCTTTTTGAGCACGTACTTCATCCTCGCTTCATCCAGGCGCAAGTATGTGTTCTCAATGTTGCTGCTGTGACCTGTTATCTGGTGGCACTTAGCCTGAGAGGGGCCCCACGCCGCGCACGTGCACACGACAGCTTTATCTGACAGCGGAGCGGACGCATTGCCCCAGCCAGCTTTAAATGCTGGGTGGTTGTGCTGCGGCGTCACGAACTGGTGATCTTGCTTGTGACTGATCGGAACCCCGTGTTTCTTTTCCTTCTTTTGCGAGCAGGCGTGGCACTTGAATTCGTCGTTAGCACCGGCAACCAGCCTACTGGCTGCCGAAGCATCCGTCACGGATGCTCCTCCGAGTCTTGGGCTTCTTGGCCAGCTCGAAGTAGTTCTCCCTCTGCGCGGCGGTGGCCAGCGCGAGGAAGCGGCACTTCTCCGAGAGGAGTTTGTTGTACTTGGCCTGATTGGCCCCCCATCGAAAACTTTGGCGCGCCCCCAGGCGAGCGCCTGGGTGGAGCCCAAGTCTGCTCCCCGGGTGGCGGGCGGTGGCTCCCGTTTTTTCACACAAAACAAAACCTTATTCTCCCAGAGTGCGTTCTGCAAGCTGTTGTGTTCCTTCGCCGCCTCCCTCTTGGCCGCGGCCGCGCCCTCCGCTCTGCCCTCGGCTCTGGCCTTGCGCAGCTGTTGCCTTTTTTTTCGGCGGCGCGCCGGCGAGGAGGGAAAAGAGGGGCCGGCTTTCTTGGAAAACAGCATGGCCCTGAGAAAGCGCCTCCGCTTTTCCAGGGGCTGTCTGAGCAGCGTCCTATAGAGCCCAAAACATTAATTGTAAAAGAAAAAACATAACTCATTTTCTCCCCCCGCAAACAGGCGCACCGCCAAGCCTGAGGCGCGCTGCTTCCTCCACCACGCCGTCCAGTTTGTCCTTTCCCGTCGTGGCCCTCTCGTAGGCCTTGCGGTTGTTCTCGGCCGCGCGCTGCGGGGGAATGCTAATGCACAGTGTTGCGGTTGGCTTGTGGCGTGCATGTGTTGTAAGGTTGTTCACCCCGTTGCCGTTCTACGCTGTTTACCGTTTTGGTTTGCATTAGTTGCGCTTGCTGCACTTCTAATGGGGTGGGTGGGTGTGTTTACTACCTCCACAACACCTCGGCCACGAACTTGTCGCGACGCATGACAAACAACTCCTTGCGCTGGGTCTTGACCTGCTTTGAAAGGTCCGCCTTCTCACGTCGAAGGGTTGCACACGTGTTGTGAAACTTCTGGAGGTGCTTCTGTGCAGCTTCTTTCAAGAACTGTTTCACCCACGGTTTGGCCACCCAATTATTCAGCGACGCTGCGCGCTTCCGATCTCTGCAATTATCGGTCTTCGTTTTGACGGCCTCTTTGGAAAAAGCTGGCATGGCGTGCTGGGGCGGCCACGCTGGGGAACGAAGCAAAAGAAACTAAACATAAACAAAGCCGAATAGGCTATGGAGGAGGAGATAAGCAAGGGAGATTGGAGGGGACATGTAATCAGAAGCCCAAGTGGCATGGACACGAAACAAATGCCAAGCAATGCCAAGCAATGCCAGGCAGGCAAAACAATGCGAAGCAAAGCAAAGCGATGCAAAGCCACGCAAGGCAGTGGAGAGCAGTTCACAGCAAAGCAACCCAATGGACATCAGTACGATTCAAAGCAATGCAACGCCATGCGCGGCAATACGAAATAAAGCGAGGCAACGTAATGCCAAGCATCGCAAATCCATGCCAAGCAAAGCTAAGCGATGCCAAGTAATGCCAAGGAGTGCACGCAATGCAATGTGCTGCCAATCGCTGCCGCAATGCTTACCATTGACAAGAACTGCCTAGCAATGCCAAGCAATGTAATCCAAAGCCACCTCCTTCCCCTCCTCATCCTCACAATCCTCGTCCTCCTCGCTGCTCCTCCTCCCTCTCCTCCTCCTCCTCCTCTCCCAATCAAGCGCATTCCGCTTCTCATCATCTGCCTCCGGCTCGGAGTAACAGAAAACAGGCGCCGAGGGAAGAGAATGGGAGCCAGAAAATCGAGAGAGAGCGAGAGCGGGGGAACATTGGATTGCAATGGTTTGTTTCATTGTTACCAGCTGTCAGAAACCTTGCTTTTCCTTAGGTTTCGTAATTCGGATGCGCATTTTCGTCTGCCCGCCCCAGGGAGCGGGAGGGCCGACGTGGCGCCGGCCGCAAGCAAGCGAAAATGCAAAAAAAGACGAAAAATGCAAAACAAAAAAAAAAAAAAACGCTAAGGACATCCTAAGAAAACCATGAGAAAAAGTTGCGAAAACCTGTGTTTTCTTAGGTTTTGCGCCAATCGGAGGCCCCAAACCTGTGAAAACACAGGGTTTTCTAATTCATATGCGCTCGAATCTTGTGTTTTCACAGGTTTGGGGCCTCCGATGGGTGCAAAACCTAGGAAAACATAGGTTTTCGCAACTTTTTCGCATGGTTTTCTTAGGATGTCTTTAGGTTTTTGTTTTTGCATGTTTCGCCTTTTTTGCATTTTCGCGCGCCTTCTCCTGGCGCTTTTCTCCCGCTCAGTCGCTCTCTTGTTCTCCCGCTCCTCCCCTCAATCGAACACCACAAAAGATTAGCAGCACCAGCTCAAAGCACGAACGACGATGAGATAGGAAAACAACAGGGTGACGGTCAGATAAGAAAACAGAGGGTGAGGTGGATCACAGGGGGGGGTGTGACCATATATATATATATATATATATATATACCTCTCTCTCACTCTCTCCCTCTCCATCTCTATCTCCTCGCTCTCTCTCACCCTCCCTCTCTCATCTCTCTCTCTCATCCCTTGCTCTCTCTCCTCCTCTCTCTCGATCTCTCTCTCTCTTTCTCTCTTTTCACTCTCTCTCCCTCTCTCTTCTCGTCCCATCCTCGCGCAACTCTCCCTTTCTCTCTCTCTCTCTTCTTTCTCTCTCTCATCTCTCTCTCTCTCTCTTTCAGTCAAACTCTCTCTTCTCGTCTCCCTCTCTCTCGCTCTCATCTTCTCTCTCCGATTCTCGCTCTCTCTCTCATCTCTCTTCTTCGCTCTCAATCTCTCTCTCTCACTCGTCTCTCTCTCTCTCTGTGTAATATATGTATCGCTCTCTCGCTCTCTCTCTCTCTCTCTTTCTCTCACTCTTCTCCTCTCTCTCCATCTGGTTCTCTTTCTGGCTTTCTCTCTCACTCTCTCTCTCTCTTTCTCTCTCTCAATAGATGCGTAATAGATATATCCCTCTCTCTGTCTCTCTCACTCTCCTCTCCCACCGTCCGCGCTCTCCTCCAGTCACTCTCTTTTATCCTCTCTTTCTCTTTTTTGTCTCTCTCTATCTCTCTCGTCTCATCCATCTCTTCCTCTCTCTCGCCTCTCCTCTTAATCTATTGTATCTCTTTTTTTTTCTCGTCTCTCTCTCTCTCGCTCTCTCTCTCTCACTCTCTCTCTCTTTCTCTCTTGCGCTCTCTGTCTTCTCTCTTTCCTCATCTCTCATCCTCACTATTTCTCCTCATCCCGCTCTCTCGTTCTCATCTCTCTCTCTCTTTTCTCTCTCTCTCTCTCTCTCTCTTTCTCTCTCTCTCTCTCTCATCATCATCTCTTCTCTCTCTCTCACTCTCTATATATATATACTTGTATGTATATATATATATATACACACATATTCCTATCTATATATGTTTACAAGGCCGGGGACCCCGGAAAAGCGGCGTACGGTGCCCCCCCCCCCCTTAAAACAACGAATTTCGGCCTCCCCGAGCCTTTGGGGCGCTCCTGCAGAGTGCTCCGTGTCTGTCCTGCGAGTGCGGCGCGGAAAAAAAAAAGCCCCCACGACGGCCAAAGAGGGCCCCGAGACACCCAAAGATCGGCCCAAGACGCCCAATCTGGGCCCAAGACTGCCCAAGACGCGTCCAAGACGCCCCCAGAGACCCCCAAGAAGCCTCCCAAGACAGCCCCGAGAGGCTATAATTCTTGATCGTCATGTGTTTTTCAAGGTTTTTGGCCTTCTCGCTTTTCCCGCTTCCCGACGCTCCACAATGGCCCAAGAGGCTCCCTAGATCGCACCACTACTGCCCACGAGGCCCCCAAAAAGGCCCCGACACGGTCCAGGAGGGCTCCGAGACCGCCCAAGAGGCGCCCAAGACGGCCCAAGAGAGCACCAAGACGGCCCCAAGAGAGACCCACGAGGGCGCCCAAAAATTCAAAAACTAAATTTTCTGCCGCGAAGGGGCCCCGACAAGCCCGGAGAGAGCCCCACGAGACCCCAAGAGGCTCCCAAGAGGCCCCAAGGAGCCCCCAACAGGCCCCCAAGAAACCCCAAAAAGATCCCAAGAACCCCAAAACACCCCCAAGAGGCTTCAAAACTGCCTCCCAGAGGGCCCCGAGAGGCGCACCACGAGATCCCAACACAGCGGTCTCCCCTTCTCATTATCCCTTCTCTTTGTCGTCGCCTTCTTCGTCGTCGTTGTCGTATCAAATGGCGCAGCGAGGCCCTTTTTCGTTCAAACCACCGAAGGACCCAAGAGCTCCTCCTCCTCTTCCTCATTCTCCCCCCCCTCTACCTCCTCCTCTTCCTTCTCCTAATTCCCCGTGATGTTTCACGTTCCGCCCCGCCAAAGGTCTAGCAGAAGCACCTCTCTTCACTCCCCCAAGTCTCTGCTGCGGATTTCTTCCGCGACACCTCGGCTGTGCCCCAGATATCCACCTAACCTGTCCTCTTCATCCTCTTCCTCCTCTTCATCCTCCTCCTTCTCCTCCTCCTCCTCCTCCTTTTCATGTTCCCCCTCCCGCCTAGACTGAGCTTCTCGCAACACTAAATACAAACCGTCGGGGCCGCGACGCCATTTCATCCGGGCGCGCTGTTGGGAACCAGGGTTTTTGTGACATTTCGGAGATCAGGCCGTCGGGAACCTTCGGTTTCAGCACACATCCTGTGGAAACACTCTCTGGGGACTCACGGCCGCACGAACACGTGCAACGTCCTCCTCCTCTCCCTCCCCCCCCCCCCCCTCCTTCTCCTCATCCTCTTCAATTTCCTCTTCCCGCTTGCCAAGCTTGTAGGACAACCGATCTTCCTCACTCCCCCACCGCTGTTTTGATGATTCCCAGCCACTTCGGCTGCATCCCTCATTTTATTATACTGAACTACCTTCGGGCCCCCTTGGCGGCCTGGGAAAAACCGTTCCTAATTCGGAGGGGTTCTCTCACCCTTTGCCGCTAGACTCGCAGAGAGGCCGAGCGGCACCGCGCCGCGCCGCCAGGGATGGAGAGAATGGACAAAAAAAGAAGCGGGGGGGGGGAGAGGAAGAGGAGGAGGAATAGGAGGAGGATGAGGAGGAGGAGGGGGAGGATGAGGAGGAGGAAATGAAAAAGGGGAAGGAGGAAGAAGAGATAACGGAAAGTAGTCTAATCCGCTTCGCCAAATGTATGCTCGCAACTCCGACCTCGGAAGCGCCTTGCTTCGCATCGGTCCCGCCGTTTTCGCTTGAGACATCACCGCAGCTCTGGAGCCCGAGACACTCTCAGTTGAGGTGTTCCAGCCACTGTCGCCTGAGACACTCTCGCAAGTCTCACTTCGGAGGTGCATTGCACCATGGTGGTTCGGCCACTTTCGCGTGCGACTTCTCGCAACTCTAAGTTCAAGGATGCCCCGAGCATAGGTGTTCAGACCACTCCTCGCTTGAAACTTCCTCGCACGGCTGACTTCGGATATGCCCTCCCCTGAGCGGAGGTGTTCAGGCCATTTTCACCCGGGACGTCCTCGCAACACTGACCTCGGCGACGCGTTGTCCCATGGTAGTCTGACCACGTTTGCCTCAGACCCTCGCGCCTTTTAGTGGCGCGATGATATGAGCAACTGGTCAGGCCACTACCGCCTGGTATACGCATGTGTATGCGCACACATAGTTACACTGACCATTAGCATATACATGTACATATCCATGCAAACGTATACATCTATGTACATCTGTACTATGCATTTATAGACGCATGTGTGTGCGCATGTACGCACGCTCGCACTCCGCTAGCGTGCGAATTCCAAAGGACCAGGGTGCATGGCGCGCAGCGCCAATGCAGTCTATATATATATATATACATATACCTCTCTCTCTATCTCTCTCTCTCTCTCTCTCGCTATCATTCTCTCTGTATCTCTTTCTCCTTCTCTCTCTCTCTCTCGCTCTCTCGCTCTCTCTCTATCTCTCTCTCCCTCTCTCTCTCTCTCGCTCTCTCTCTGTCTTGTTTCTCTCTCTCTCTCTCTCTCATTTTCTCTCTCTCTCTCTCTCTCGATCCCTCTCTCTCTCCCTCTCTCTCTCTCTCTATCTCTCTCTCTCTCTCTCTTTCTCTGTTTCCTCTCTCTCTCTCATTTTCTCATAGTTTCTCTCTCTCTCTCGCTCTCTC